TTTTTTCTTTTTGCTTATGTGGTGCTGAGGAATCGAACCCAGGGCCTCGAGCATGCAAGGCAAGTGCTCTACCACTGAGCCACCTTCCCAGCCCCTGGGTTTTTATTTCTTAAAAAAAAAAATCCATGTAATGCTTTCAAACTTCAGTTGACTGTCGGTGAAATCATGAAAAATAAATTGTGGGATAGAGGAACCACTGTCCTAGTCTCTGGTCTCCTCTCTTCATCGGCAGCCAGCTTCTGGGCTTGGATCTCTAGATGAAGGCCTTGCTAAAAATGGGAGCTGTATGAAAGTCTTTCCTTCTCCCTTCATTATAAACTGATTCGCTGTCCAAACACTTATTTCATTTGTCATCCATTCACTCAGCCGATGCTATGGACCATTTACTCCATGCTAGGTATATATCTCATAAGTCTCTTTGCTGACCTGGGTTAGAGTGGCCAACAGCACAGGCTGGAGAGGTGAACATTGCTTTAAGCGCCACACAAGGTATCTTAAGAAATTCAAACAAAGGCCAAGTCCATGCAGCTATAGGGTGGAGGCACCAATTAAAGATGAAGGATTTCCATCAGGAAGATCAGGAAAGATGATGCTAAAGTTCAGTTTTATGGAAATGAGAAATGAAGAATGAGCTACAATTACCTGGGTACCAGGCGGGGGAGAAAAACTTTGGAACTGGAAGGAATCACATGCACCAGGCCTGCAGTGTGCAGCATGTGCACATGTTTGGGAGTATTTTAAAGGATGGGAGAGAATAAAACATGAGACTGAAGGCTCATGCTGGGCCCCACAAAGCCCAGATGTTGATCTTTGACTCAAAAGATCAGAAGTAGCAGAGAGCTACTGAAAAGTTGTAAGCAGAGGAATGACACGACCAGAAAATAAACTTTTTTTTTTTGGCACAAAAAATAACAAACAGAAAACTTGGCTTTTTACAAGAGCTTCATTGTTCCCTGTTCCTTCCTTCCTTCCCCCTTTACCAGGCGGGCAGGTGACTTCTGCCGGCACCAGGCTGCAGCTGGCTCAGAGCAGCTCCTCAGAGTACACACTCCAAGCCTACAAGCTTGGTCCTGCGCCCAGGGAATGAATGGAGCTAAGCGGTGTTATTTCCGCTAATGCACTGTGTGTTCCCTCTGTGCATTTCTGCCTTTAAATAAATACTGGGGTATTTATAAGCACTGTCAGCAAACCACCCACTCTGTTTCTCTGCCACAGGGCCAAAAGGCCTACAACAGTAACATTCTGTAGCATCATCTTCAAGATACCTGCAGAGATGGCTTCTAAAAGAGCACTAATTCTAACTCCCTTCTTTACAGGCTGACTTTTAAGGTCAGAGTTGTAGACCACCTAAGAAACTAATTGGACTGCAATTTTAAGCCACATAAGAACAGCTTCCAGAACATTTTGGTTTTCAAAACTGACTGACTCTGGCCACCTTTCCATTGAGCCATTTGATTGTCCCACAGTCAGGTGTATGGCAAGCCAAAGAATTGATTCCAGCTAGAAAAAAAAAGGCAAGGAAAAACAAAAACAAAATCATTGGTGATTATATTGGAAGATTTTAGGTTTCAAATTAAAGCGAAACTGACTTCTAAGTGAAAGGGATAAGTGATTATCCTCTTCTAAACTGAAGAGAAAGAGAGTGTGTGTGTCAGTCCTAGGGCTTGAACTCAGGGCCTGAGTGCTGTCCCTGAGCTTTTTGGCTCAAGGCTAGTGTTCTACTACTTGAACCACAATTCCACTTCCAAATTTTTGGTGTTCATTGGAAATGAGAGCTTCATGGACTTTTCAGCCTAGGCTGGCTTTGAACTTGGATCCTTAAATCCCAGCTGAGGGTTATTTTGTGGGGGTGGTTGTTTCTGTTTTGTTTTCCCTTTGGTCCTTAGAAAACTAGACAAGTCATCTGTTTTTCTTTGTCAATATAGCTGGGCTTCATTTCCAACACCATGGCTTCCTCCAGCCATGTGAACTCGCTCACCTTGCGGAGCTGATGCATCATCATCTATACAATGGGTTATCAGTGTGGGGTGGTTGAGGGAGTGCGAGACAGTGTGGGCAGAATGCCTACAGAAAGCTGGCTACATGGTAAGCCCTGATTATGTTATCATCTGGGAGGGCATCTGTGTGCCTATCCTCTACCTCCCACACTCCCAGGGCTTCTCAGCAAAGACCTGCCAGTGGCATTTACATATGGTGCCTACTCCTTCCTGTAGGAGCTCAACCACATAAAATAATGACTTGATGTAACCCTCTTTTAAAAAGGGACTTCTCTTGTACTCTTATACCCTTCCCAAGATGATAGTCTATTTTTCTAGTTCCTTACCACACCCACTATATCTGTTATTAGATAAGAATTAGGGGGAAATTGACTGGGAGTACTTCCAAAAAGATATGTTCCTAGAATCTTTTCTACTTACACACATATGTATATTGATTTTCGTTAATGCATTTTATCTGAATGGGGGGGGGAGGTGCAAGAGAGTTTTAGGTTAATTGAAAAACTGAAAGTCCAGTGATTTCCCAAATATGCCCTGACTCTCCCCTCCCCCACATCCTCCCACTCTGTTAACCTCTTGCAAATACCTCTTGAGGTATTTGTTCCAATGGACAAGTCAATATGGACACATCATTATTGACAAAAGTGCATGTGCTTTAAATTTTTATCCTTGTAAAGGACATCTTGGGTGCTTCTGAGTTGGGGTTGGAACGAACAAAATTGACGGACACATTTATTTGCAAGTTTTTGTGTGAACACAAGCTTCTAACTTGTTTGGGTGAACATCAAGAGCTGTGCACACTGGATCATATGCTTAGAGTATGTTTAGTTAAACTATATTCCAAGTGGCTCCTACCATTTTCAGTGTTACCAGCAATGAGTGGGAGTTCCTGTTGCTTCATATTCTCAACAGCATTTGGTGGTGTCAGTTTTGGACTGAGGATTTTAATAGATACACTGTGGTATCTTATTGTTTTAGTTTGCATTTTTCCAACGGCATATGCTGTTAGCATCTTTTCATATGCACATTTGCAATCTGTAAGTTTTTCATGGAGTATCTGTTCAGATTGTATGTATGGCCCTCTTCTTCTTCTTCTTCTTCTTCTTCTTCTTTCTTCTTCTTCTTCTTTCTTCTTCTTCTTCTTCTT